AGATGCAATCCAGAATGTTGCAAAATACAACCTGAATCTGGAAGTCGAGAAACCACGCCTATCACAAAGAGAAAGTCCTGAACAAGATGATTCAGCTCTGGATCCCCAATTGCGATCCCCGGATCAAGACCATGACACGCATCTGGGCTCACCACACACCTCGGTCGCTTCGCCGGTTGAAAGTCTGAGATTGCCCCCAATCTTGCAGGAACATTGGAACTCAGTTGAGAACATACCTCTGACTAACGACGAGTTGGTGCTCTTCGAACACTATGTTGGAGTAGTGGGCCCGATACTGGACCTTTGCGACCCCACGCGACAATTCTCGACATCCGTGCCTCGTTTAGCTGTGCACAATCTGGGGCTCCTGAAATCACTTCTGGCAGTAGCAGCACGGCACATGGCTGCGCTCAACCAATCCTCCTCGTCCCTGCAACATGGCAGCGAAGCTCACATAGTGAATCCTCTCCTGAATGTGGCGACGCAGTACTACTACGAGACTCTACATTACCTGTCCCAGAACCTCAACCAGGGCAGCTACTCCAAATCCCGTGAAATTATCTCAACTGCTCTTCTGATTAGCACGTACGAAATGTTTGATGCTGAGGGACAGCACAACAACGGCGCCTGGGAGCGCCATCTGCGTGGCATTTTCTGGATCCAGCGATCACAGAACAACAATGGGTAAGTACCCCTGTTTGCGATGTCATGTTGCAAGCTTTGCTCTAGTACACAATTGGTGGATACGACCCTGGTTCGGACGAAGGGTCGAGTCAAGTGTCAATACGAAGATTTGGGCACGACTGACACGCTTGTAGTGAATGCAAAGATCCGCTTCGACGAGCAGCATGGTGGGCTTGGATCCGACAAGATTCTTGGGTAGCTTTCCGAGAGGGTCGCAGAGTATTAACAATCTGGAGACCACTACGGCGCCTCGACGACTTGACGCCAGACGAGCTCTGCCTCAGGATCATCTATATCTGCGGACGCTGTGTCGACTTCGCAGCGACTGAGTCTGTGAAGAAGTACGACGTGGACACACGGATCGACCAGGGCAAGAAGCTTACACAGGCGTTGAACGACTGGTACAATATCCTTGGCTCGTCTTTTCAACCAATTTACCGACCGGCATTACCAGCGCAAGACAATTTCTTCTCTCCAATATGGATACACCCTCCATCACACGCAGCGGCGATACAGACTTATCACTTCTCCCGCATCATCGTTGCGATCAACGAGCCTTCACTGGGTGGCATGGACGACATGCGCCATCGACAACGTCTGCTTGATGAAAGTCTAGAGGCCATATGTGGCATAGCCAGTACCCATCAGGGCAAGGAGATCCCGAGCGCTATGGTGAACGGGAGGGCATTGTACGCAGGTGAGTAGCATGGACTCAGCGAAGGACGAGCCGAACTGATACATATGCAGCTGGATTAGCGGCACGAGACCCTATGAAGCAAGCAGGCATTCTCCAGTTGCTGGAACAGACGCTGGAAGTCACAAAGTTTCCTCCAAAGAGTCTCCTGCATGATCTTACTACACATTGGCAGGCACAGCAATAGAGTCAGAACTTGTACGAATTTACAATTCGACCCTTCCAGCTTAAGTGAATGCCCGTACTCATTGCTGGTAAGCCTCCGCAATATTGTCCAAGTAACTATCTGTGGATCTCCAGGCTTGCACACGCCATGCGCTCGTATGAGACACGTGCAACTGCATTGATCGCCTAGCCACGATACGAGATACCTAAGAGCGCTTCTCTGCGTTTCTCAGCCTCCACCCAGAAGGCCCACTATCGATGTGGGGTCGAACGCGGGGTAGGCGGCAGCGGCAACGGCAGCGATCAGCTCCCCTGATGCTAGGAGTCGTGCCTCGTTACGAGGCTCATTCTTCTTCGAGCATCTTCTTCGGCAGGAGTCGGAACTTCGAGAGCGAACTCAGCCATGTCGGTAACGTGGGAGATGCTCGACTCGAGCACCAATCGTTTTATTGCAATCCCGCAACACCTCCGCGATCGTTGACGGGTAGAAGACCGCGGCTCCGATGCAAGGCGAGAGCTATGATGGTGTGAGTGCATGCCCAAGATGCGCTCTTACATCTCACACATTCTGCAACGTCATCGCCGTGTTGCACTTGGAAGACCAGAATGTCAGACCTTAAAGAGAACCGCACATTGCGCATTCTGAATGCTGCTGCATCAGGAGAGTACGGTGTGCTTGCGGCTATCGCGTACGTGGAGTTCCAGCAATTGCGTGGTGACAGCACTGACATGCTCCAGCTACAATGTCGAGCAACTCGAAGCTCTCGTCCGCGCCGCTGAAGCAAAGCGCTCGCCGCTGATCATCCAACTTTTCCCCTCGACTCTCATACAACTTCCTTTGCTAGCACACGCCGTTGCGCATGCGGTCAAAACCGCGAAAGTTCCGTTGTCGCTACACATCGACCATGCGCAGAACGAGGCGCAGATCCGCGAGATCATCGCAACACTACCGGTCGACTCTGTCATGGTGGATATGTCACATTACGACGAGGTCGAGAACCTCGAGAAGACAGAACGTCTGACCAAAGAGTGTCACGCAAAGGGCGTTGCTGTAGAGGCTGAAAGTGGGAGGATCAACGGCGGTGAAGACGGCATCGCAGACACTGGCGACCTGGAAGGTATGACTTCCTGTTGGACACTTCGCAAACAGGCTGCAGCTGATTGTGAGAACAGCACTCTTCACCTCCCCCGAAGACGTTGACAAGTTCATCGCGGCTGGCGTCGATATCCTCGCGCCCTCTGTCGGCAACGTGCACGGTGACTACGGGCCATCCGGCCCTGCAGAAGGACAGATCCATTTCGACCGCCTCGAGGCAATCGACAAGCAGATCAACAAGCGCGTCTTAGTTGCGCTGCACGGTACCAACGACTTCCCGGCGGCGGTCATGGAGAGATGCATACGCGCTGGCGCGATCAAGCTGAACGTGAACAAGCTTCTGCTGGAGGTTGGGAATGAGGTGCTTAGGAAAAACGCCGCGAGCACACCGCTGGTGAAGCTGATTGATCAGCAAATAGAAGCTATACAGGCAGAGACAGAGCGATGGATGGACATTTGCGGGAGCAGTGGGAAGGCATAACTGACTGCTTGTTGTCGTAAAACTTGGAAATTGGTCTCGGAACCCAAGCGCCTTCGTCGCATCTGTTGACCATGAAGACTCGGATGTGTGACTTCACGTCCTGCTTAGTGCAATTGTCGGGCGAGAAGGCTTTGAGTAAGTTCACAACATAGGAGTGAACTCAAAACAAGCGATTGGGGGCTACAAGTAAGTCCGCTTAGGCTGGCGGACAGGGAAAAGCAGGTGTTACGGCAACAGTCACTCACGTAAGAAGAGAGTATAAGTGGGTGACTTTTGCACCTCAGAAGACATTCTTATGCGAACTGGCTCAACTCAGCACATATCAGCGCTAGAAAAAATCCTATTGGAGAGATTCAGCCTGCTAAGAACTGATCGAGTCTTGTTGATACTGATTGCCGGCAAATCATCGAGCCAGATAATCCTCAGGTTTTGCAGGCCAAGTAATTGAGTCCACTGCTCCATCAGGCCAATATGAGTGAGATAATCGGTATGGGCGCAAGGGATGACAAGTGACCAAAAACAGTTATGGTTCACTAGAGTGGAGATGCTGTAGCCTTCGATCAAATTAGCGGCGCGACGGCTACTGTCAAAAGCGTTCTTGCTGAAGTGAGCGGAAGATTGGCCATGACGAAAGTTTGCTGCGATCAATTAGGGATGATCTCCAACCAGAGAATTTAACCATCGTTACAAGCTCTCCAAAAGCGATGATGATCACAGGTTCAGTCTCTCTGAGATATTGACTGCACAGCTTCCGCGCAGAGCCGTGATCGTTCGCAGCCTTGATAAACCATGGCAGAAGGCTTATGAATGTCAAGAAGCCTTCTCGAACAAGCTTCTTGGTGCCACCTGGATCTACTTCCTAGCCAAGAGCTTTGCTAGGATTTTCCTCCCATAGTACTAAGTGCGTGGAGCAGTCCAGGACTGCGTTTGACGCGCGACTGGCTCCTTCAGGAAAAAGCTGTAGCCTGGTTGTCTTGCAGCTCGCCGATCTCGGATCCAAGAATGAGCAGAACTGCGTTGAGCTTGCCAGAAAGAACTTCCGGTATGGCCTGTTAAGTTGTGACGCCTTGCGTCTGGTCTGTGAAGAGATACTTCTCGGTAATTATCGACTCCTTAGCATCAACGTATCTGCGAACATCGCGGCCATACTTCTTTACAGCCCGGTGCATGGTAGTTGGACAGGGTAACAGCTCGTTGCGTGGAAGCTGCGCAAATTCAGTTATCTTCCTCCGGCTTGTCCTTGTGTGGATGGGTCCCAAGAACGTGGGAGGCTGCCACGGTTCATCCAAGCGTCATCTGCAACCAGATAAAAGCTCCGAGGCCTACAATTTCTTGGATCACAGCCCTTCTCTGATTTCTGAAGGTCTCGGAGGTACTTGACGGAAACCTGCGAGTGGCACGCATTTTGATCGTACTTCTTGAGACTACAATAGTTCTACTTTTGTAGCGGAACTTTTCCGTCTTTCAGGAGCCAATCTTTTATCTTGTCACCCGTGGAAGTTTCTCAGTCACTAGAAATCCTAACGTGCGATTTCGAGAACATCTTTACAGATGGGGAGGTAGTCAATAGCCATCTATTTGAGTCTGACAATAGAACAAGTTTTCAAGATGCTACAAAAGTTCTGCAGTCGTACGTGTTCGGCGGTTTGCCGAGTTCAGTTACCCCACATACATCAGAGTTTTTTTCGGCCGAACAAGGCCTTTTGCAGCAGCGAACGAAATCATAAGGTACATTCGATGTTCCTCTTTCGATTTGGTATGGTTTTAGTGTTCGTGTTGCCGCACAAAAATATTTTCAATAAGTTCAATTATATTTAATCTCTCAGCTCTTTCATCAACACCACCAAGTGGTAAACGATCTTCCCTGATCAACTCAATCCGGTTTTGTAGTGTAGCGGTTATCACTCCGGATTCTGATCATCTCAGTGTCTTCCGGCAACCCCGGTTCGATTCCGGGCAAGACCTTCATCAGCCTGCGCTGCAGGTAAATTTTTTAGACTTTTGCCAACCCAACGGCGCCCCGCATGACACCAAACGTTGCACAGTGTTTCAAAAGGTTGCAAGAGCTTTAATTTGAGCTACGGAAAGTCATTCTAACCACAAGACGGTGTGGTGTTGTGGGTGTCCGCGATTTCAGATTTTTAGACTCATATCTCGCACAACATAATTGAACCCCAAACAGGATGATTGGACGGGTGTTAATCATCTCACATCGTGCGGCAATAAGATAAACGACGTCCAGAAGGTCAACAAGAAGCTGAGTGCAAATCTAGCCAAGGACAGCAAGTCAAATTGGAGACAACAGAGATGTTTCCAAACCCGCTATTGCAGACCGATTTGCAATGATGGGGCCATCGAACTATACTCGGAATCCTAATGAGCGGTCACTGAACACAGCTAAGTGCCTTTGTTGGGGCAGCTGTCCTTGTGTTCAACGACGACGTATCAAAGTTTCAACACGAGAATTGAGGTCGGACAACAAGGCCTTGATTCTCTCTGGAAAACGGCTTGACATCATAGACATCAAGTCAGAGCAAATATTGAGTGACTCGTGATCAAGATGGGTTCCGGTTGGCTCTATGTTTGTGGTTTTTTATTCTTCATTCGTTGAAAATGCATGTCAACGAGGAGATTCTGGACTCGCCCCGATGGTCTTCCGCTTTCCAATAACAGTGGATCATTTTTTGTTAAGCTCTGATGCATACTGGGTTATAGAGGAGCTCGGTGCAGCTGACACGCTTTATCGTAAGTGCGGCTCTGCGGCTCTGCCTGCACTGCAATCTCTAGCGCGGAAGAGTAGATCTGCGCTGCTATCATTCGTCAGGGCCAGAATAACACAACACTCTGACATGGCATCTTGAACATGTGTTTGTATTGGTCCCCTTTTGCATACAGCTCGTTCACTCAAACACCCCCGCCCCAGCCCAACACCGCATACACAACCGCGCTCAACACAGCATCCCACCCCATCGTCTTGACCGCCTGGCCTTTCCATACCAGCGCCGAGAACACGCTGGACACGCTCAGATTATGCCGCAGCATCGCTAGGTTCGCAACAACGAAGCCCCCGGAAATCGCAGCGCTGCGGTGCACGTCTGAACGCGTAATTTTCAGCAGCCCAGTGTGCGGGAGCACGAGGAGGAGGCGCTCGGCGAGGATGAGGTAGCTGAATCCTGGATGGCGTCTGAGGCTGGACTGGGCGAGGAGTGTGGCGTTGAGCAGAAGGGTGGGCAGGATTATTGAAGCGATCGGGGTCTGCTTTGGGTGGGCGTGCTGCGTCTTCTCTCTGCTCTTCTGATCATCACTGGGGTACGGTGTGATGTCGGGAGCTGAGAGGTGGAGGTTGATAACGAACAGCGCGGCGGCGAAGCTGATCGGCAGATTTTGACCCAGCACTATGAATGGCAGCATAGTCCTGGTAGTGAACCCGTACTGGCGCCCTGCTCCCGTTAGCAAACACCCTCGCATCTCGCGTTGACTTACATACCTTTCTCCGCGAACCACAAATTCCAGAACCACGTCGCCAGAATCGCACTCTGCGTCCACACCGCGCTCTCCCCATCGTCGACGAGCTGCACCGCAAAGTCACTAAACAGACTCGTTTCCAGCATCCACCTGCCCAACGCCCCCACCCCATCGCGCCCCAATACCGCACCCACGTTCCGCGTCTTGCTCCCGCTCCAGTTCAGAAGCGACGTGATCAGGAAACCGAGCATGTGCCAGCTGATACTCGCAAAGCTGACGAGCGCCAGGACCGTGTAGATCTTGACATGTCTCTTGCGCGCGCTCCTTGTCTCGACTTTGCCCCGACCGTTCTGTTTGAATTTGGATGGTGGGCTGGCGGGATGAGAGTGGAATGCAGTCGTGTATTGTTTGTACAGCGAGTAGCAGATTGTGCTTGTGAGGTAGAGCGCGACGACTATGTAGGACAGGAAGATGGTGGAGCCGAAATAGTTGTTTGGTGGGGTTGTGTATCTTGTCAAGGGATTCTGTTTGAACAAGGATCCGGACATGTTGAAGGTTGGGTCGGGTGAAAGACTCAATGTCGCGACTAGGGTTTGTGGGTATGCTTCGATGATAAAGATGCACGCCGCAGATCTTTGGTGTTGTGTGTAAGACGATGTGTGACGTCAGGCGTCGCAAGTTCCGCGCAGCAGCCTGTCGAACGTCAGATTGCCTTTGTCTCAGGTGTTCATCGGACATGTGTCAGGGTTTCTGCATTCGTGCTTGTTGGGAAACTCCCAGATGAGTCTAGAAAGAAGCCATGTCTTCAATTGAAGTGACGGAAGCACCACTGACGATGCCGTGTTTGCTTTTCATATGATACAGAAACCTGAAGATAAGAAGTACCCGAACCCAAAAAATGCTAGCCCATTTGTATATCCATTACACGATATTCTTCGCATTCTCCTTGCCGCCTGCGCGCTCTTCGCCTCGTAGAAGTAGCCTGTCTTTCAACCTGTGCAACACAGACGGACTACCTGCAGGCTTTGAGTTCTTGCTCATGCTTGCATTTGCGCTCGATTCGCTCAATGCTAAAACTCGCACATCAACAACACGACTCGAAGAAGAACTTAGGGTTACCGGTTGCCCAACAAGGGTTGCGACTCGCTGCTGTTACCGCCCTTGTTCTTCTTCTTACCTCGCTTCTTCCTCTTCTTCTTGCTTTCGCCCTTGCTCGGGTGTGGCGATTCGTCTTCAGACTGCTGTCGAGAATCTTGGGCAACGTCAGCTTGACTGCCTGCAAGCTTGTCATCGGAGTCGCTAGAACTTGTGGTTTCCAAAACGATCTTCTTTATGCCGTTTACGTCGATGATGTTCTCAGAGATGCTACCGCTGCGGGCTGTGTGACGTTTTTTGGGTGGCGACTGAGATTTTCCAGAGTGCAGAGAACCAATCGTGCTGTGCGAGTTGCGTCGTCCGCGCGACTGATCTTCGTCGTTGCCGTTGGCACCATCAGCCACAACTTCGGCGTAAGAAGGGAAAGGCTGAGCGCCTGGAGAAACCGCGTCTTCGCCTACGTCCTTGGTACCAGCTTTACCAGACTTCCAGGACATGCGGTCGCCATTGGGTGCAGCCATTGTACCATATCCAACAGCCAGACTGTGCACGCCATCACTGGCTTCACCAGCGGCAGACGAGAGGAGACCCTCGCCGATACCACCCTCGGGGGCATGCGATTCTTGCGCCAGGATACCTTGCGATGCTGGGCGCGCGTTCTCGGGGATCGTCGCGGGGATCTCGGGTGCTGGAGAGCTTGTTTGACCAGGCTTGATCTTGACGGTGTTGATGCGGGTAGACTTGGGGCGGTTGGCAGCGTTAGATGGGCCGAGGTGCTTCAAATGCTTCATGACTTCAGGGTCGTCGGCGCGAAGAGGGTCCGTCGACCTGTTGCCAGTGCTGCGGCGACGAAGCATAAATGTAGCCGGGCGGAGGGAGTCGCCTTGCTCGGGCATTGACATTTTGCGGGGACCGCCGTCCTGCTCAGTATCAGTCTCACCGTCAATGACTTGCGCTTCTGACGGTTTGCGGGATCCGTCCAGGAGTACAGCACCCTTGGGCACACGGGTTCGCGGAGCGGGGGTCATGCGGCGAATGGCTTTGTGGACGTCGATGAAGACATCTGACTCGTCAATAATTTCCCTACTGGTGTAAGTATAGTTTTGTGGCTAGAGTGTAAAGGATACTTACTCTCCGATGAGCTCCTCAATGACGTCCTCGAGGGTGACAACACCGACAGCGCCGTGAGAGTCGCCGGGGAAGTCAGATACGAGCACCATGTGGGACTTGCCCTCCTGGAAGAAGTTGATAATGTCCAGACAGCTGGTCTCGGGGCGTGTCTCGGGGAGAGTAGCCAGGGCGAATTCGCGCACACGCAGAGCGTCCTCAGGATCGTAAGTGATGAGCATCTTGACCAGAAGCATGCCAACGAAGTCGTTCTTGTTCTCAGGTGTGTGGATGGGAATGCGAGAGTAACCGGCGGAAAGAATGTTCTCCATCATCTTCTCGTCGAGGACCGTGTCGGACGGCATGGTAAAGACGTCCTTCATAGGGGTCATGATGCTGCCAACAGGCTTGGCCTTGAGGTCGAGAACGGCGGAGATGATGGTGACTTCGTCCTCGTTGAGGCGCTCGTCAGCGTGGCCTAGGGACTTGTGCAGGGTGACCAGGCTCTTCAGACCGGCCTTCTTGTACGTGGTGCCGTGGTCCTCACCGAGGAGGTAGTCGAGGAGCTTCGCGGTGGGCCAGGCGACGGGGGACATGATCCACATGAGACCGAGAACCATGGGCGCACACCATGCGCCGATGGGCAGCCCATAGCGGACGCAGATGGACTGGGGGACGACTTCACCGAAGATAACTAGACGGGTCAGCGTCGCAACAGCAGGGCGGACGGGGACCAAAAGTACCAATGAGGACGGTGGAGCTGAGAACGGCGGGCCAGCCTCCGCCCAGGGACCTGTCGAGGACGATGGGCAGGGTCTCGTTGGTGATGACGTTGCTCAGGAGCAGCGTGACGAGCACCCAGTGCTTGCCGTACTTCAGCAACCGCAGCACCTTCTTGGAGGTGCGGCGCTCGTGGGGCTCGCCCGAGGTGGCCAGGACTTGGAGGTAGATCTCATCCTGTCCCATCAGCCTGCACGACTGTTAGCGGTTGCACAATGGCGGGACGGCGTGCGCGTACGCGATGGTCAGGCCTGCAAAGACACCGCCCGCAAGCACGAGGGCGACGGCAATGCCCAGATAGACCCAGAGAGTCGCGTCCTCGGGGGACTTGGGCAGCTCCTCTTCGGCGAGCGCGTTCACCATGCCGCCGAGCGGGAGGGCCTTGACCAGCGGTGCAAAGGCGTGGAAGACGCAGACGAGCAGCATGTTGATGCGCCCGGCGCGCGAGCCATTGACGCTGCTCATGGCGGAGCGAGAGGCGCTGATGGCGGCGGCCATAGCAGATGCAGCACCCGAGT